TTTATATTGTTTTTATTTATTTATTATATTATATATATTTTATATTTATCTCAAGTTGGTATTTTTTTTATTAGAGTTAAAGTATGTTAATATTTGATTGTATTATGTTTGGGTAGTTTTATTTAGATCTGGGGTGACATGTGCATAACCCTGTATTCGGTTCTGGGAAGTCCAGGGGGGGGAGGGGATCAAAGATGTAAATGTAAATTTTGGTATATTAAAATGTCATAGTGAAATAATGTATTTGAAGAAGATGAGATGCTCGGCTGGCACCCCCAAACTGCGTCCGAAGGATGAGGAAAGGAAGGAGGTGGGATGTGTAGGGTAGTTGAGAGGAGGAAGGAGGAGAGAGGTGTAGGTAGGAGGAGAAGAGAGAGGAGGGAAGTAGGAAGGAAGGGTGAAAGAGAGGGTGGATGCAGGCGGGGGGCTGCTGAGCATCTCAGAATAGATATTTAATATGGGGTTTTTCTCTTGTTTATTAATATATACCATATTTGTAACTTGTTTATTTGAAAATCAATAAAAATTTGAATATAAAAAAAAGGAAGCACATAGCCTGGATCCTCTCCGGGGATAATTTTCTAGTTCCTTGTGATAGAATATAACCTAAATACCAAACCTCTTGTCAGACAAGCTGGGCTTTAGTACGGGAAACTTTATAGCCCCAATGACAAAGAATTTAACAAGGAAACAGAATTCAAGAGGCAATTGCCTTCAGTGGGGGCAGCTACCAGCAAGTCATCGACATATTGTAATACCACAGTAGTGGTGTCCTCCATAGGTTGCCATGTGACTAGATCTGTGGTCAGGACATCGCCAAATGTAGTAGGGCTATTTTTTGAATCCTTCGGGTAGAACAGTCCAGCAAAGTTGCCTATGCTGCCACTGAAAAACAAAGAGTAGCTGGCTAAGAGGGGCCAAAGGGACACAAAAGAAAGCATCCTTTAGCTCAATGACTGTGTACCAGGTAAGATGCGGACCTAGTTGAGAAATCAGAGTACAGGATTTCTGTTAGGTACCATTTGATGCAGTGTCACAGTGATCTGATTAATGGTCCTTAAGTCCTGGCAGAAACTGATAGAGCCGTCCAGCTTTTTGATCGGTGCATTATAAGAACTGACAATCTTTCTGAGAAATCCATAAGGAAGAAAATTAGTAATAAGGGGCTCTAATCCCTGTAAAGTTTCCAGGCTCATTGGATACTGATGAATGGAAATTGGCAGCGCATCAGGGTGCAAGGCTACTTCCACCAGAACTGCGTTAATAGCCCGGCCGGGGACCCTGAATACCATACATTGGGATCAACAAAACAATCTAACAGACTGAGGCACTCATGTATCCTCAGGCTAGGAGAGCTGGAGAGTCAGGATGTGCAAGGCTTGTTCAGGGGGAGCTGACAATTCAACCTGGGCTCCTTGGAAGGAGATGGTTGCTTGTAGCTTAGTAAGCAAATCACACCTTAAAAGAGGCATAGGGCAGTCTGGAAGGTAAAGAAATTGATGAGTAAGGTAAGTATCACCCATAGAGCATTCCAAAGGGTCGAGTATTGCAGCTGACATAGATTGGCCACTGGCTCCAATGACCTGAAAGATTTGTGAAGGTTTCCAAGAGGCTTATTTAATACTGAATGTGATGCCCCATATCAATCAAAAAGTGTGTGGTTTTTCCTCCAACTTTGAACTACTGTATACCAGGGGTGCAGAGCAGTGGTGGGATTCAAATATGTGAACAACTGATCCTCTGTATGGATGTTACTTCCAGAAGTCCGTTCTGGGCCTGGGCAACAAAAAATTAGCTACCGGTTCTGCTGAACTGGTGCAAACTGGCTGAATCCCACCATTGGTGCAGAGGGAAAAACATCCATAAGGGCAGGGAGACAAAGGCCCTCCCAGCCCCTGACACCCCCCCTAGTATCTGGAGTGTGGTTGTGGAGCAGCGCACCCTATAGGATGGTTAGGGAGGGAACATAAAGGACATTCCCTGCTCTAGTGGCCAAATGTCTTACATATACGACACTGTCCTGTCTTAGGGCAAAAGACTGCAGTGGCCAGTCTGGGGGTGCCTGGAATCTGGGTGGCATTGTCCCATTTCTTTCCTAAGGGGACCCTACCACTCCTCGCCATCCTCTTCCGCAAGTCCCACTTCTTCCCCCTCCCACTAGGGGTGCCCATTGTAGAGCTTCAGCCAACAATACAATGCTCCATTTTTCATCTTTTTTTAACCCCCCTGGCTGTCACTTCTGGTCGTGCTATGTAGGCCTTATAAGCTACTTCCAACAATTTTCCTATTGTGTCAACTGAAGTCCCCTCCATCTTCTGTAATTTGCATCTAATATCTGGGGCACTCTGCCCAATAAAGGCATGTTCACCGGGTGGGAGATTTCTGAAGCTTCTGGGTCCAAATCACTCTACTTCCGGAAGGCTTGGTAGAGGCTCTCAAGGAAGGCTTTCAGATGGCAACTGATGAACATCATAAATTTTGCCCAAGTTTTTCTATTTAGGGATCGCAGTCTGCAATGCAGTGACAATAATGTCTTGGAAACCTTTTAAATATTCATAGTCTCTGCTTTCATGAGTATCAATGACCTATCTAGGGTCAATTTCAGGACAAAGGACCTTCCTTTCTTCAGCTAATTTTTTAGCAGTATTCCCTAACAGACACTTTTTTTCTATTGTTAAAAAGACATCCAGCGTAGGTTGGAGGTCTGCCCAATTAGGGTTATGAGTTCGAATAATGGACAGAACCAATTCAGAATATTTGTGCAAGACTTCAGTGTAAAAACCTAATTGATCAGATGTGGAGAACGGGGTATGAACCAGGACCTTATTAGTGACCATCTTCTAATAGCTACCTGTTCTGTAAGAGGGTAAATCCCCTTAAAGATATAACTTTCTAGAAAAATCTATAATGGTGGGGAAAGTATATGGAAAGATAAGAGCAGGAGCAAAATGGATAGAGTTATTTATTAGGTGTAGCATTGAAAACTTGAAAGAGGACTTGTGGTGGCAAACTATGGCACGTGTGCCACAGGTGGCATGCAGAGCCATCCCTGTGGGCATGCGCACCATCGCCCCAGAGGGTCGCGGGGACGGGTTGCTCCCCTCCCACTCTCATGTGCACCGCTCTTTTGCTCTCTTTCTCTGCACCGGAATCGGAGCAGCTGCAAGAACTGGGCAGGGAGAGGTAAGAAGCCAGAAGCGGTGCAGAGAAAGAGGTGTTGAGACAAGCTCAAGGGCCAGGGAGGGAATGGGGAAAAAGATTGTTCTTGCCATGATCTCCCTTCTGCTGGCCACTGGGAAGCCCAGTGGCACAGCTACCCTGGGAAACTCCAGTGTCCCAGACATGCAAATGAGTTTCGGCGCTCCCCAGGTTTTAGTGCGGCAACGGGACAAAACTCAGCAAAGCGCTGAGTTATCTTCGCACATTTGTGGTGCCTTCCCAAGACTGGCTGCTCCCCTCTGCCTTCCTGTCTCCCCTTAGCTAAGGGGTGCTTTGGCATGGGCAGCTGGGGAAGGGGAGGCCCGGCTTCTCTCAGGGGGCCGAATTAAGCGCACATTGGAAGGGGAACCTCTGAGTTGGGGGCAGGCAAAGTTAGCCCTCCAGCTTGGGAGAGGAGCTCCTTCCTTTCTGCACGGAGCGACTCCCATCTCCTGCAGCAAAACTCTGCAGGGGTGAGAATTGCGGAGTTTAGGTGGTGAGTAAAATGTGCAAGATGATCGAAAGCCCTTCTTAAGATTTATGGGGGGGTGGAGGAGGGGAAGGCTACGTGGAAAGTTTGGGCATGGCGATCCGTGCAGGGGCTGGGGTGGGAAACGGTGGCAGGGCAATCCTTGAGGGGAGTGGGGGGGGAAACGGCGGCGGTGGCAAGGCGATCCGTGTGTGGGGAGGAAATGGCAGTGGCAGGGCGATCCATGCAGGGGGTGGGGGGCAGCCCCACCCAAAGGAGACGAAGCAGCCAGCTAGCAAGCCCCGCGCAGAGGTGCACGCCCATGCCCAGCAGGCAAAAGGCCACCCCAAGCGGGGAAAGCCAGATCCCCATTGGCATCATGACCACCCAGGCCCAGCAGAGACGTGGGGAGGAGGCATGTAATCCTGGCTGGGACTGGGGAGCCATGGCGCCAATGGGGATCCGGCTTTCCCCACTCGGGGTGGCCTTTGGCTTGCTGGGCGTGGGCGTGCTCTACCACCTCTATGGGGGCTTGCTAGCCGGCCGTTGTGCTGGGCAGGCCAGGCCTCTGAGTGGCGGCGGCAGCCTAATGGACCTGCACAAGCTGCTGGCGCTGGCCTAAGGCACGGGGGAAAGGGGCAGGTAGGAGGTGCAGATTCCACATTGCATGAGACTGGGATTTTTTCCCCGCTATTGGATTTTCGCTACCAGACTGTTTAACTTGATGCAGAAAGGGAAGGATATGCATTCTGCATCAAGTAAACTTTTAAAAAGCTAAAGAGTCTGGCAGCGAAAATCCTCCCCCTCCCCTCCAAGTTGAAAGCAGAGGCACAGCAGCAGGATTGCTCTCAAACACTAAGAGCCGGGTGCATTGCTCCCTCGTGTGCGCCCGCCTTATTGAGAGCAATCTGCTGCTGCGCCTCCACTTTCTTCAACTGGGATGGAGCCGAGGAGCCGCTGGTGGCCACTTGAGTGGGGAGGATGAGCTTTGCTGCTGCTGCTGGGCTACGCCCTGCTGCTGCCGCCTCCCAAACTCCACCTTCGCCACTGGGTATGAGCAGCAGCTCCGTCCTAGGGGGAAAGCAGCGGCGGTTAATGATATTAGATAAAAATATGAAAAGGAAAGTTGTTACACAGGGATAAAAGCTATTTACACAGAAATATGTTGCATATATAATAATATGCATTTTCTAATTAATGTATTGTGAGTTGACATCTGGCTAGAATTTATGATGGCCAAAAGGTGAATTATTTTTCCAATTTATACTCCCCAGAATACATAATTTTATGAGGGTCTAAATTTTTGCTTTCAAAATCATTCTGATCTTTGTGGTCATATATATTCTGGTTTGGATACAACCTGCATTTCCAGTCCTTCTGTTCTGTCTCTGAAAGTCCCCAAATTACTTGATCTTCTTTGCCTGGAAAAGAATACTGAAGTTAATGTAGTGCACAAAGTAATGACGGTAGGCTATTGTTTCACACACATGCCTGCAAGTGCATGCAACCTGTCTCTCTGTATGTGTGTATACATACTTATAAACAAAGTTTATCTATCTATCTAGCTTCTAATTCACTGCTCACTCCAGTAGTTCGATTCTGAGTGGCTCAAGGTTGACTCAGCCTTCCATCCTTCCAAGGTTAGTAAAATGGGGATCCAGATTGTTGGGGGCAGTTTGCTGACTCTGTAAACCCCTTAGAGAGGGCTGGAAAGCACTGTGAAGTATATAAATCTAAGTACTATTGCTATTTATCAAACCAAAAGTCAGTCCTAATACATAATTTATACATACATTAAACATTTGAAATGGCTGCCATTTACTTCTAAACACTTCCTCATTTGACTCATGATCTTTGAACAGTTCTAATTATAGTAACACTTTCTCTGAAAAAAACAGAATTAATAAAACATATTGTGAATACCTTTTGGGCCCTATTGTTGTATACATAGACAGAGATACACAGACACATAATCAGTGATCAAACATATAAATTTGTTAGCTATATACAGTACTTTGGTATGCCGGGCCTTTGACAAAGTCTTTTTCACCCAGTGCCAGGAAAAAAATATTTTTTTCAGTCACTGATAGGCTATAGCACTCGATGCTTTAATATGTGTCCAATAGAGAGAGATATCTACTTGGGAAGCATCCATCTTTTGCTTTATCTTACGATAGTACCTATCAATTTGACCGTTGTCTGCATGTTTGTCTGGATGGTTAAAGAATTCAAAGCAGAATCTGAATCTGAGGACATTCCCTTCAAGAGAGTTCTAACCTTAATTTTGAAACTATACGTTTAACATATGAAACTTAATGAATGTTTTCCCTCAACACTGGAAATAAAAGATTTGAACATTTTGACTCCACCCATCACAGTGGCTGAAACCTTAGAGGCCATTGGAGACTGAAAATAACAATAACAATAGAAACAGCACTAGCAATAGTAATCTCTGCCCCTCAATAAAAATAATAATCCATCTTGCTTTAGAATCATATAATAATATACATGTGTTGGGATCTTCCATTGCTTGATTCTTATAGCTTTATATATTTATAAAGTTGATTGGCAAATCAACTGTGAGCTTCTCTACTGTTAAATGGGGTTCTCACCTGGATATCCTCCTCGTTCTAGTTCAAAATCTTAACTGTTATACCACATAATCCAAATTTATGTCTGCTGTTTACATTTATATAGGATATTATGCCTGCTTGATCCAAAGTATCAATCAGGATATAGTGACAGTGACAAGCTTTCATCCAAAATCCAGAATCACTGCAGAGGCTTTGATATCCTTTCATAGTTTGAGAATATCACTAACATGTTCCCAGTGGTGTTTGCAAAAATCAGGTTCCATCCAATTCCTAGCCAAAGTCAGCAAGGTCACTAATTTCTATTAAAATAATAACAAATCAAGAGCCCACAATTGATCCGTAGTTGCCAGTTAAAGAGAAACCTCCATAATCACTAGACAGGGACAATTTCCTGGGAAATTTCTCTAACTTACTAGGGACTGGGAAATTGCTAGTAATAAAAGATTTTAAGATTGGAAACTTACTCAAACTTTTATGGAATTAGGTTTTCACTGAACTTATCTGAATAGACATGCATAGAATTCTACTATAAACCAACTATATAGACAAAGAGGTAATTATTTTACTAATTCTTAAGTCTAGATGAACCTACATTAGCATTAGCATTAGATTCTCTACATATGCTATGTAGTATATTGGGCAACAAGGGATTTCTAGCATTTTCGGCCTTGAGCAAATACTTCTGTGTTGTCCCATGTGATGTTAGAGTCTTTAGTTTAGATGAGTCAAAATTAGTTTAGATTAGTTTAGTTTTCAGTTTAGTCTTTAGATAAACCACACAATAGATAAATGTTCATAATGATTATTTGCTTTATCTTATATTATGCCTGTATATATCAACCAATTATGCAAAAAATGAAGCGTATTTCTTTCTTGATTCTTTCCTGGTTTTTTTCTGCTATTGTCTTTTATAAGTAACCCTCGACTTATGACCACAATTGAGCCCAAAATTTCTTTTGCTAAGCAAGACAATTGTGAAGTGTCTTTTGCCCCATTTTATGACTTTTCTTGCCACGTTTGTTAAGTGAATCACTGCACTTGGTAAGTTAGTAACATGGTTGTTAAGTGAATCTGGCTTCCCCATTGACTTTGCTTGTCAGAAGGTCGCAAAAACTGATCACATGATCCCAGGGCACTGCAACCATCATTAATATGAGCCAATTGCCAACCATCTGAATTTTGATCACGTGACCATAGTTATGTTGCAATGGTTATAATATAAGCTATCTCATTTGGTATTTGTATAAATGCAGATAGGGCAAATAATAGTCATGAATATGTATCTGTTATGTAGTTTATCTAAACTAAAGACTGAATCAAACTAATCTAAACTAATTTAGAGTATTTAAAAGTCATGTCACTTTTTTCAGTGCCATTGTAATTTCAAAAGGTCCATAAACAAATTATTGTAAGTAGAGGACTTACAATGCATGTGTTGGACAAGTTTTCAAAATGGGAAGTTCTAAACTGGTGGGTATAATGTGCAGCTAACTCTTATCTGAGGAATATTTTCTCATGAAAATGCTATGAGGGGAAAAAAGGCCAAAAAAAATTACCTGAAAGCATGGGAAAGGGTATCACTGAAAATGCAGTAGATAATGGGGTTGACAGCGCTGTTTAAAGCTGGCAGGTTCTGAATAATCACCGCTGCATAGAAGCGTTCTTGAGTTTCTGGAAGGATGCTGAAGTTATCCAGAATATCAAAGAGAAAATAAGGACTCCAGCAGAGCACAAATGCTGGAATAAATTGATAAGAAAAAGGTTCTATATTATAAGAGCTGCCAATACCATTTTGCTCAGATCTCTCATCAACAACTTCTTGAGCATTAAAGTTGGAAAAAAAATGATGGGGGTTCTTTTCAGCGTGAGATGTGGCCATTCTTAATGATTTCAGCATAAGCTCTGGTTACTAGGAGTCCTCATTTAGCAATTACTTCAGATAGCAATCATTCAAAAATATGACGGTAATAAATGGTAGAAAAAAATTCCAATCAACGTATCCACTTATCCACTTATGCCCAAATTTCTGTGCCTGACAATGCACATTATAGTGAGGTGATATTTCTGCATAAGAGAAGTTTATCTAAATAAGGTGGAGCAATCAGTGAGCTTTACAGCGTCTTTCTTGTGATTTGCTTGGTATCCATTTTGCCAGAATATAGTGGCAAAGGAGGATTACTTGTATTAGTAGCAATCTTCTGGAGATTTGTGGACAACAGAAAGTGTGCAAATATAACAACCTCAATTGAAGATCCTGTTAGCAAAGAAACGTCTAAGAAAATAATGTGCAACACAGAATACTTTAGCCCCTTCATATTCATCTCTCAGAAGTAATCTCTGCAAACAGAACATCCAGTAACATTAATAATAATCACATAAAGCACAAATGCACATTTAATAAAATCATTATTAAATGGTAGGGAGTATTTTTTAATATGTACTCTGGGTTAATAATTATGAGATTAATATGATTCTCAACTCCAAGCCAGGTATTTTGTTAGCTTACCTGTGATAGATAACTATAGCAAATAAATATTAAAATGCAGCTAAGAGAAAAAAAAAATCATACAAATTAGTTGTGGACTTCTCCCCTTTTAGTTCCTAGGTGTAGCATATATGAAAGAAAAACGAGAGGAAAGTGTTTTGAAGAAATCTTTTAATTTCAGCTATATATGCTACTAATATTCTCATCCCCATAATTTTTAATTGGACAAAACAAGGCATCAAAGGGCAAAATTTTAAATCAAAGTACCTGAATGGGATAACTTAGAAAAAAATATCCAAAATTCAGGACAAATTTTATAAAACATTTTATGACATAAAATTATAGTGAAATAGTTTATGACATTATACAAAATGCCGTTAAAACAGTTCAGCATGGACTATTTTCAAGGCAGAAAGATGTCTGAATGTATCCTGTCTTTTCCAGTGAAGGCAGTAAGATGTTCTGTGAGGCAGGCAGGCAGGAAAGTCATGGATTGTCTAATTAAATATTTTTTGGTAAATTACTGAATATAAGTGTAAGATTGAGTTTCTGGTGACACAGCAGTATTGCAGGTAAACTGCCCTTGTGGCAATTCCTTCCAAGGTCGGAAAATGAGAACCAGATTGTTGGGGCCAATATGCAAATAGTGCTTCTACGTTATAAACCATCCAGAGAATGCTGTAAGGCGCTATGTGGTGATATATAAGTCTAAATGCTACTGCTATTCTTAACAGATAAGTGAGGACTGGGTTTTCTGATTCTATATGCAACTAGTGAGTATGGGAAAAAAAGAAATTAAATATAATACAGATAACACCAAAATCAGGTCTGACTGGTGAGAAGAGCAGGGGACAAGAATACTTGGTGCTCTTTTTATGACTGAAGCACAAGACCATTAGCTATATTTGCCATCAATAATTCTTAGGAAACGGTTAATAGCACCTAATAATCACAAATTGTGTATGATTTGAAGGAACTTCATACAATGCAGCTCAATTGGGTTACTAGGAGAGCTTTGGTGAAGGTACTTCCATCAAATGCAGTTTCATACTGGGCTTATCTTGGCAAAGCAATAATTCAGAAAATTTAAAATGCATTATTTTTCCTGCATTCTTTTGTATAAAAACAATCACACTCTCTGCTTGCAAGCAGTGAAAACCAATTAAAAGTTCTGGTTTCCTTCTGGACTCATGGCAAAGGATTAAGATTAAAAAAATTTGTATTATCTCCTGTCTTTTGAAGGTTTTCCTATGAAAAGGGTTAGCTGTGCAGACTGACAAGGACAATGATAGATTTTCATCTCCAAATCCCCCTCTTGCTTTTTAATAACTGCACTGTTTTACATTTTAATCAGAAAGGAAGTAAATAAGTTGCTGTTGTAAAGGCATGGGTCTAAATAAAGATGCAGTACATACAAATATAAGATACTCCAAATCAGTAGTACAGGCTGGTGCAATACTACAGTATATCCACATATTCAGCAGATGGTCTGAAGAGAAGTTGCACTCACATGGGATCAATAAAAAGTGATGCCTTTTTTTGGCTGCAACCAAAACAAATCTTTACCAATGTTTAATCAACTGGCACATGTTACCACTTACCAAGAATAACTACGACACTGTATTTGATAGCCTTGATTTTTGCTTTTGATATAAGACCTCGATGGGTGTAGCTTGCACAGAATTTACCATCTGCAGAAAAAAAGATCCCCCCCCCAAAAAAAACATATTATATAGGCACAGTGGGAATGGGGAACCATTTCTTACATCTGCAGTTTAATTAAATTCCAGATCAGTACACAGATGAAATTTATTTAGCCCCAAATTTACTGCTTTCTAATCTTAAAAATACTTCTAAATGAGAAATTGCTGTTGCCTCTCTTGTGAAACTCAACAAAATATAATTTATCAATTTTGATTTTGTAATTGAGATTCTAAATTAAATATATATTGCTGCAAGTGTCTAGTATTATGTTGTTACACAACTTCCACCAACTATGTACTACAGATGTACTAAACTTCAACTCTGAATCTTTTCATTATTCTTAATAAAACAGAAGGTAAGAATTATGAAATATATGGAAATAATCCTATGCATCTATTGCAATTTTTTCTTATCCTGCCTAAATTCTTGGAGTGTGTCTTTTGGCTCAAGAAAAATTGTGCATATCTTTTTAGCAGTAGTTTTTAACATGACAATCAATCATGACATACCAACAAATATAGCAATTCTGAATTTTGAAATTAAAGTTCATATTTAAAATAAAAAGTTGAAATTTTCTTCATATTTTTTTCATTTTAAAAAATAAGTGGCAAAAGAAATAGCCAACTTTTAAATATTTGGACTAAAAAAATAGTATGGCTAAATAGTTATTATGCATTGTTTTATGTAGCTGGTGCTACAATGTGGGCATAGCATAGCAGGTTTTGTCAATCACCACTCATGCTGCTACATTCTGGACCAGTTGTAGCTTCTGACTGATCTTCAAATGCAGCCCCACTGTTGCACACATTGCAATAGTCTGCTTGCAAAGGGACCAAAACATAGTGACCAGGAGTAAGGCTTTTAATTCAGGCACAGCCTAAATCTGTGCAAAGATATTCCTGGCCAGAGCAAGCCCTCCAGATTGTGCAGTAGTCTTGAGTAGAGCAGAGCATATCTTATTCAGAACCAAGGAGGGGGAGGAGGAGAGAGGGATTCATAGCCACTCAGTTTTGCTATTTTGCAAAATTTTGCAATTTTGAGCCTGTTTTTCTCATGAAGTCTCAACATTGTCCAGGCACTGAGACAAAACTTAACATTGCTTGGTCAGCTAGGTTCAGGATGAATAATTCAATATCAGAAACATACTGAGTATGCTAATGATGCTTGACTCCAACCAATAAATAATTCCCCTAGTGGCCTCATTAGAAGTTTAATGGGAAGAGAGAGAATATTACATTCTGAAGCACCCACAGATCAGAGGTTTTAGGCTCAACCTCTCTCCTCCAAGCAACACTAATAGAAAGAAAAAGAATTACAATATTGTGCCTCCCATTCCCTGCAACTAGCCCAGAAGGGTACTATTGCTGAAAGTATTTGAAAGCAAGGAGGGGCTAGATCAGTGGTGGCGAACCTATGGCACGCGTGCCAGAGGCGGCACTCAGAGCCCTCTCTGTTGGCACACGAGCCACCACCGCTAGCAGCAGGTCCATCAGGCCATCACCACTGCCCGGAGCAGGAGCCCCGCCCAGCACAAAGCAGGCGAAATGGCTGACTAGCAAGCTCGAGCAGAAGTGGTAGAGTAGAGGTCACCAACCATTGTCGATTGGTGGACTGGAAGAAAAGGGAGGGGGAAGCATTTTACATGTGTGCGTGCACGGGGCCACAAACATGCACACGCTGCAAATGAGGCAGGGCTAGTGCCTGCATGATACTCACTAGCCCTGCCCCATTCTTGCATGATGCAGCGCCTTGTATCTGCACGCCATGGCACGGTGGCGGCCGTTTTTGCGCCTTGCAGCACGGTGGCCCTTTTTGCGCCCCTGGTTTTTGCATGCCAGAGGCGGCACTCAGAGGTGCCTCCCTGCCCCCCCTGAGGGCACCACAATGCTGATGGGCCCCTGGCACTTTGCGATAAATAAGTGGGTTTTGAGTTGTGGTTTGGCCACTCGGTCTCTAAAAGGTTCGCCATCACTGGGCTAAATTATCCCCATTCCAGTTTCCCCATAGCTCAATGTCATCTCCATATTACATCCAGATCTGAAATGTTACTGAAAAGCCTGCATATAATCAGTTTCTTTCAAGGTCCTTTGTAATTGACCACCTTATCAACAATCTTCCTTAAAAAGGAAATGTTGGAACCTGAATAAAAATTGTTTGGGTCTACATACAATCTGCCTCCTTACTGGTGAATTAATGTCTGATTTTAATGCCATAAGTTTCAATTGCTCCCAATTACTTACCAGAACAATTAGATACAATTACAGCATGGGCTTTACTCTTAACCCATATTGTCCGAATCACAATGAAATAAATAACACTAGAAGAGGAACAAAAAACAAATTATTAGCTTTGTATAAAACTCAAGAATTGTAGTTATTACTGCAATTTCATCAATGTTGTGTGTATTATAGTTTTGATACTAAGTTCTATTGTAGTTAGAGATTTATTAAATAAATGGGAACATATTCCTGATTAATTTAAGAACTACCAATTTCAATCAATCTATTTCAAATGTACTTCTAGGGTCAACCCTTCATATATAATAGGAAAAACTTTAATGATTTTCAATTTTCTATTTCAAGAAAACATGTATATTGGACTTTGCCTGAATAGTTCATTAAATCCAATTATCTTACTCTATGACATGTACTTTATATTGGAAATTTATAATAAGTCCATTGCCCTTTTCTAGATTATGAAGATGTATGGATTGTTTTTCTCTGTATTGTAAAACTAGATGTTATTATATTTTGCATTTCTTTGCCTTTTGCTTTCTTTTCAGGTATCACAGTATATCATAGCGCTGGAATCCTATCATGACATTCTGTCTAAAATGCTTACAGATATTCCTCAATTTACAACCATTCCTTTAGTGATTGTTCAACGTTACAATGGCACTGAAAAAAGTGATTTATGGCCAATCTTCACACATACATTACAGCATCCCCACAGTCAATTGATCAAAATTCAGGCAAAATTTAAATAACCAGCAATCACTAAGTTTATTTATGACAGGGTCCCTGGATCATGTGATTTCCATTTGCAATCTTCCCAGCTAGCCCCTTACAAGGAAAGTTAATCGGGTTTGCTTAATAATCACAATTCATTTAATGACTGCAGAGATTCATTTAACAACTGTGGCAAAAAGGTAGTAAAATCAAGTATGACTCACTTAACAACTGCCTTGCTTAGCAAGGGAAATTTTGGTCCCAATTGTGGTTGTAGGTCAATAACTACCTGTTTTTGTCCTTTATAGCTTAATGAAGGTAAATGTTTTGCATTTTGATGACATCCTGTTTGCGGATGATAGGACAAGAAATGCATATTCCAAGGTATTTCTATGCAAGTCCTTTAACAGAAATATCTTGGAATATGCAGGAGCACATATGAAATATTTATCATTTGAACTGTTACAGCATCATATTTTCCCATCTGCTTCAAAGCTGCTTCTGATTCCAATGGAATATTGTTGACTGACTTCAGCATGCCTCCAGTGTGGCTTACTGGTAGGCGGGGGTGAGAACTAGGCTTGCCAGGGCTCTTTACCCAGCCTATCACCCAGTGACTTCAGTCTCTTGGCTAGCAACAGCTCTCTCCTCTGCAGAATCCCACCTTCATCGCCACTATTTCGTAGGCAATAACCAGACCAGCATGGCACAACAGTATTTATTAACTCAGAACACAACTGCTTAAAACCAGCAAAATGCTTGCAATTTATACTTTCCGCCTCTAGGGCGTCAGCCAATCACAACGTTAGCTCGCTCCTGCCTAAACTTGAATTTTTGAACTTCCCTCCAAAACAGTTGGAGGTTCGTTAGTATCATAATGCATTAAGATTATACTTAATACATAACAGGAAGGAAGGAAGGAAGGAAGGAAGGAAGGAAGGAAGGAAGGAAGGAAGGAAGGAAGGAAGGAAGGAAGGAAGGAAGGAAGGAAGGAAGGAAGGAAGGAAGATTTAGCTTTGGCATAATTCCTGAAATTGGAGAAATATTTGAAGATAGCCACTCTTACCCATCAGAGAAGAGAAAAGAAAGAAAAGAAAAGAGTGTTTCCTTGCTTTAATCTAACTTTTCTTAGAATGCTGAAGCTTGGAGAACACTGTAAGACTGTAAGGGTTTTTTGGGTGCCGTCTCTTCTAGCATAGCTGCGGTGAGATAAAACTACACCCAGTCTATTTCCAGCCTGTATTTGCTTTGCATGCATAGAATTCATTTCAAAATCCCTTCTCTGTTTACATTAATTTCTAAGCTAAGACAGTCGATTTTTAGGTTTTATAAATAGTTGCTTTTATTGTTTTATTGTTTCAACAATAAACAGCTGTTTTATACTTATCCCACGGTTCGAGGACTTTATACCATTGCATTAATTTCTCTGCATATATTTTCCAATCCCTGCAAGAATTCATTTGAGCAGTTATGTGTTTTTGCCAATTTGATCCCATTCAAGTTTTCTTGAGGCCTGTTCATACAAACTTGTCAGGAAAAAAAATCAAAGAGTACAAATATTTATATGTATTTTTGCCTGCAGTTGTTTATTTCAGTTAGAGAGAGTAAGAATGGGCACTATTAATTCTTTTCTCATGAACTGATCCCTTATTAAAATGAATGTAAATCTTCCGTAGATATATAAAATCCATGCCTGGAGTAGTATGTCTGAGAGTTATCTGCATAATAGTCTTACCTGATAATAATCAGAGGAATAAAATATACCAGAAAGGCAACTGTAGTCATGTAAGGAATCCAGTAAGAATCATCTGGCCAGTCAGCCCAACACTGTACTTCTCCATTGGATAGTTGACGTTTCCCAAAGATGATGAGATTGGGAATTGAAAACAAGAAAGAGAGGCCCCAGGCAATGATAATGAGAATTTTTGCCTGTCTTTCTGGTTATGGGGGAAAGAAAATCTCATTAATTTTCAGCATAAACAAAGTATCAGTGGGGATTAGAATAGTTCTCCATAGAAATGTAATTGAAAGATAATTTAGCTGTAATTAACGTAACTGTTAATTAATACCTTTTGCTTGCTAAGTATTTTATTGTAAAAGAGAATGTATAATTAAGAAGTTATCACATTAAATTTAAATGGGGTGTCTTTTCTTCATTTGAGAAGTCAATCAAAATTTCTGTTATTCATTCTAGTCTAACAGAAAGCAACAGGAACTTAGCTAATACACAAAGAAATACAAGCAGAAAAAAACAAATCCAAGTGACGTTTTATATAAGAGAATCCCCTAAGTCATTGTCAGCATTTAAATATGATTTGCAACCAGGAGGACTCTGATTCCATCTGCAAGATCTTCAGTTAAGGGAATAAGCAGGACCACTACTGCTGCTATCTTTGGAGAATAACATCAAGCCAAGCTGCCTAACTGTCAAGAAGCATACCAAATTCTTCAGTGATTTTAAACATTGTCTTGATATTTCTTTTTCAATTTCATAACATCTCTCTGAAATAATGATGCATAGGAAGGAATTAAAGGAATTATATCAAGGGGAATTAAAATTGCATTGGACTGCTCACATAATCAAGCTTCTCAGGCTTTCAAAAACATAAAAACTAAATGAATAAATACGGTAAAGCGTAATGGAATGCCCTTCCATTTATTGGATTTCGGATGCAATGGACAAGGATTTATGTCTAGACAAACCTCTAAAATAATAGATGAAGTCCAATGTATTCCAAACAATCTGAAGAATTCATTTAAATAGAAGCAAATGACATATATTTCAATTTAGCACACATTTTGGAGGAATTAATACCATACAGAGGTTTCACTGCAAATAAATAAGGTGGGTTGTGGGTAAAAATTTTTATGGGTCCCTTAGAAGCTTGTTTGTCTCGCCATTCATAAAAAAATAAAAGCTGTGTTGTTTCTGACCTAAGGCCCCTCTAATCCAATTCTGTTTTGTACTGTGTTCATTTGGGAGATTCAGAAACGTGGATAGGAGATGACAATTTACTTTTCTTATTCTTCTGGCATCATTACAAAGTACAACATGTGGTGCTACCTAAGACAGTTCTGTATGAATTGGTCTAGAGTCTTTTTAAAACTATTTTTTATTTGTGATACTTCAACATCTGGGGCAGCAAATTTAAAACTGTTGACAGAAATTTAGAAAAGCTGCACAGAGCAAGTAAATGGATGAGTCATTGTTTATTTCTCTACTCCGGGAAAAGATGTAGCAACTAGGATAATGCAGTGAAAAGCAAATTAGATTTTGTTTACAGCTAGTTGTCATTTAGCAAATGTAACTGAGATTGGCAACTTGATCATTAAGCAAAGTGCTTATTAAGTGAAAATCACATAACTATGACATCGCTTACAATTTTATTTGTTTTCCTTGCTTTACATTATCAAAAGGACATAATCCCAAAAGCCACGTGAACCCAAATGACAGGGAGGTTTCCAGAACTTGACTCACAAAAAAAATCTGGTGAAAGGGCAAATCTTATAGTCCATTCTCCCCATTCCCCTATCCTTTGGAATGTTGAACCCAGCAGTGGGATAATTAGCAAGAAGGGAATTGAAAAGAAGGGATATTAACGTTCATTAGACAGGAAGGGATTACAAAAAGATAAGCAGGCACATAAAAGGGCAAAACACATAGAAAGTAATGACTAGTGATGACTGTTTCTCTAGGGGGCTCAAAGTTGCAAGCCACAAGTCATTTAACATTTTCAGTGTGAAACTGATTTGAGCTTTGTCAGTGTGAGGCAGCTAAAAGGTTATAATCAATTACTTAAGGTCACACAGCTGAGCTTGTAAACGTGTGGTTAGCGCTTTTTAGGGATGCACTGCATTGCAGAGAAAAACAGCTTATGAAGAGATAGTTTGTTTAGGTAATCTCTCCACTCTTGGAGGGGTGGGCGGAGGAGGGGGAGAAAAGAGGCAAAACATATCTACTAACTGATTGCAATGACAGACATGGAACTGAGAGAGACATTACGAAGGTTGTAAATGTGAGCATTGGCTAAATAAGGATTACTGTATCTGTATTTCTAGGTTGGAAATCATATTTAAATCTTAGACCTTAAAAAATAGAGATTATCTTTTTCCACAGTTATGATCATGATGATGTTAAGATGGGAAATTTAAACCTTCCTTTCAAACCACTAAAATTAAAATGAAGTAAACTAGCACTGATGTTGATTTCCTTGCACACTGCATCTCATGCAAAGTAGTTTTGGTTACTAGGCATGCAATAAAAGCAACACTTGCTTTATCCTCTAGTAAGATACCTTTTTATTCCCTGCTGAATGCTTCTGCATCAGGGACATTGGGAAGGAAGCCAAAAATAGCTTTTATTAGAGCAATTCTGTACCTATTAACCTAGACAGCAAGGTTAGTAATAAAGAGTTGTGGTACAGAATAGAACAAATAACAGAGTTGGAAGGGACCTTGGAAGTCTTCTAGTCCGACCTCCACTCAAGCAGACAGTATACAATTCCAAACAAGTGGTGTTCAGTATCTTTTTAAAAGCCTTCAGTGATGAAGCACCCACAACTTCTGAAGGCAAGCCATTCCACAGGTTGATTGTTCTCATTGTTGAGAAATCTCTCTTTAGTTCTAGGTTGCTTCTCTCCTTGATTAGTTTCCATCCATTGTCTTCCTTCTGTTGTTTTGGAAAATGGGTTGACCCCCCTCTTCTTTGTGGCAGCCCCTCAAATATTGGAATACTGCTATCATGTCCCCCCTCATCCTTCTTTTCACTAGGCTAGACATACTCAATTTCTGCAACCATTTTTCATATGTTTTAGCCTCCAGCCTTTTAATCATCTTTGTTGCTCTTTTCTGTACTCTTTCCAGAGTCTCAACGTTTTTTTAATAATATGGTGATCAAAACTGGATGCAATAGTCTAAGTGTGATATTACTAAGGCTTTATAGAGCGATTCTAATAATTCATGTGATCTTGATTCTATCCCTCTGTAAATGCAACCTGGGATTGCATTGGCTTTTTTGGCTGCCACCACACACTGCTGGCTCATATTTAAGTGACTGTCCACTTAAGATCCCTCTTATAGTTACTGCTATTGAGCCATGTTTCACTTAATAGGTACCTGTACATTTGTTTTTTCTTGCCTAATTGTAAAATCTTACTTTTCTTTACATTGATTTTTATTTTGTTCAAGTCTGTCGAGATCTGGTCAAGACTGAGTGTTAATAACATCTCGTACTTAAAGTAATGTGTTTTTTTAAAGAAAGGACGCATTCAGTCTGATGGTGAAACTTGTTCCTATTTATTTATTTATTTAGCATATAGCAACAGCAATAGCACTTAGACTTATATAGTGCTTCACAGTACTTTACAGCCCTCTCTAAGCAGTTTACAGAGTCAGCATATTACTGCCAACAATCTGGGTCCTCATTTTACCGACCTCAGAAGGATGGAAGACTGAGTCAACCTTGAGCAGATGAGATTCGAACTGCTGAACTGCTGGCAGCCAGCAGTCAGCAGAAGTAGATGAGAGAAGAGCAACAAAAATGATTAGGGGACTGGAGGCTAAAACATATAAGGAACGGTTGCTGGAATTGGGTATGTCTAATTTAACGAAGAGAAGGACAAGGGGGGGACATGATAGCAGTGTTCCAATATCTCAGGGGCTGCCACAAAGAAGAGGGAGTCAAGCTATTTTCCAAGGCGCCTGAAGGCAGGACAAGAAGCAACGAATGGAAACTAATCAAGGAGAGAAGCAACCTAGAACTAAGGAGAAACTTCCTGACAGTTAGAACAATTAACCAGTGGAACAACCTGCCTCCAGAAGTGGTGAATGCTCCAACACTGGAAGTTTTTAAGAAGAGACTGGACAGCCATTTGTCCGAAATGGTGTAGGGTTTCCTGCCTGAGCAGGGGGTTGGACTGGATGACCTCCAAGGTACCTTCCAACTTTTATTATTATTATTATTATTATTATTATTATTATTATTATTATTATTATTATTATTATTATTATTATTATTATCATCATTATCATTATCATCATCATCATCATCATCATCATCATCACATCACAAATGCTGGACACAGTGCAGTCCTGACAGCCTGGATTGCTAGTTTATTCTATTTTGGATCTTTATGTACTGTATATGTTTTTAATCACATGGATGATAATGCTGAAAAAAGTGTTACTGAAAGTAAAATTTTGATATTTTCTACCCACTGGAGAAGCTAAAGTTGTATTTTTTGTATTTTTGTAATTTCTACAGAATGAAATAACTCCAGAGAGGAAGTAGAGCTTCTTAGTCTAGGATGGAGAATTAGACTTCTCTAAATTAATCTCCTGGATTCAATGAAGTTTCATTTTTTAAATGAGATTATCAGCAATTTCTGTCTCTCTTTCACTTTCATTCTCATTCTCACTCTCACCCTCACTCTCCATCCATCCAAATTACTCTTCAAAACAATATATCCTAGCCTTCTTAGTTTCCTGAAATTTTAGCTACATATAAAAAGGAGAAATCTATCTAGTTTACAGCATTATGTTGAACTTGTATTTTAACACCCAATGAATTACAGAAAGTTGAATTAATGGAATCTAATATCAGTACAATATATTCTCAATCCTTCCCAAACAAATAAAACTAATTGATGTATAAACTAAACTAATTAGATGTATAAGGAAAATAGCTAAAGCAAATGTTGTTGTTGTTAGTTGCGAAGTCGTGTCTGACCCATCACGACCCCATGGACAACGTCCCTCCAGGCCTTCCTGTCCTCTACCATCTTCTGGAGTCCATTTAAGCTCACGCCTACTGCTTCAGTGACTCCATCCAGCCACCTCATTCTCTGTCATCCCATTCTTCTATTACTCTCAATCTTTCCCAGCATTAGGCTCTTCTCCAATGAGTCCTTCCTTCTCATTAGGTGGCCAAAGTATTTGAGTTTCAACTTCAGGATCTGGTCTTCTAAAGAGCAGTCAGGGTTGATCTCCTCTAGGACTGACCGGTTTGATCGCCTTGCAGTCCAGGGGACTCACAGGAGTCTTCTCCAGCACCATAGTTCAAAGGCCTCAATTCTTTGGCGCTCAGCCTATCTTATGGTCCAACTTTCACAGCCATACATTGCAATTAACAGAATATCAAGACACTTACACCCCAATATGATAATCATAATATATTTAAGAATATGCTTTATGGTTTCCCCTTCATGTTGAGAAATTGGGGACAAATTCCAGCAGTACCCCATCTTTGGCCCATTTGTCTTTCATTTCTTAACACAATATGAGGTTATTTGTGCCCATAAAAACCATCTTGTACTGAATCATCCAATTTGTCCTCCTTATTCTGATTAAATCTTTGAATTTGTTGCTGATGTAGAATATCCATGTCTGGGTTTTTTATAATTTTATAACTTTGAAAGTTATTTTTTCCTCATGATTGTAAAAGGAAAGATCTTCAGCATTCATTTAAAGCAACATATTATGCAACATTACTATAATAATGGTAATAAAAACATAGGTGTGACATCCTTGCCATCTGAAAAATAACAAGGGATTGAGCACTGCATCTAAAAATGACAAATGATTAACTAATATCTTATTTGTAGTAAAAATATTATTTGCTCCCAGTATCAAATTATCTGTTAAAAATGGGCAAGCTTTTGATGGCTGAAGGATTTTAATCACCCAGAAACCACAGAAGACATGGAAACGATTCCAAGTGAGCAGGTTCAGGATTTGTTGTTGTTTTGGGAGAAGGGATACTTGAGAGTTTTCTTTGCTTTTTTAAAAATGGCTATAGCATGGGGGGGGGGGGGAGAGAAGAGATTACGAAACAAGAAAAAAAGGGAGGGTGGTGAGTCCCAACGCAATAACTGAGTCTTTAAGCAAATCACACCTGGATTAAAATAAAGCTTCTTAAAGGGGAGGGGAGAATAATGGGAGAATTACAGCAGAAATCTCTTACCTCCTTGAAAAAATTTCATTGGATACACAATAGCATGGTATCTGTCTATGCTTAGTGATACTAAAATATATGTTGAGGCATACAAAAGTACAACCTAAAGCAGAAAGAAAGAAAAAATAATAACTGGTTATAGAAATGTCTGCAAGTTGTTTTATGCCTAAACCAAGGGAATAATTCTACTTTCTCTTATTGGGAATAGCCAACTAAATTCAATACATTTTATGCTTTCATAACCACAGAGCAATTTATGCATCTCTATTTAGACATCGGATCCATTCTGCTCAATAGATCTTTCTCCTAGGTAAATATATGTTTTAGGCATGTCCAATCTGGTGCCATTTAGCCAGACTGAGGCTCTAACTCTCAGAATTTCGCTTCAAGGATGCTAATTGATACAACTGGCTGGAATTTCTATGAACTGTAGTACCAACATATTTGAATTGAATGAGCAAAGTACTATTTGGAAAGTTTGTTATCAGATATGAACCTAAAGTTGCTGCACAGCCAAATCTATAATGTTGGGAATAGGCCATACATACATTATTTACATATTAATGTATTATTATGCTAACTATCTGAAGCTTATCAAATTATTCATGCATTGTTTCTACAATATATGCTTAAAATAGAAAATCTAACATCTGTTGCTATATAACAGAATATATTATTCTGCACTGCAGTCCAATATATTGATAGAGATATTTATGCATGGAGAGCAAGAGTGTAACAATACGTGGGAATACAGGTAATCCCCCAGATACGAGCGTTTATTTAGCGAGATTTCACAAAAACAAGGTTATTCAGAAAGATTACTTACATTAGAAATTCAAAATTGCGATCAAAAACAGGCCTCTGTAGCCATGTGACTTGGATTCAGTCTCAGCTGCTGCAGTGGCCATTTTAACTCTGTGATCTGCCTGGGCCGTTTTGGGCCTATGAGAAGCCAGAAGTGGGTTGTTGGTTTTTTTGTGCCTGGTCACATGGCCAAACAAAATCCAGTGATTTTTGCAGCTGTCAGGACCGTTTTGTTTTCCTGGAGCTGCGTGGAAGATCTTCTGCTTGTTGGGCTTATTTTAAAATATTCTTTTTTGTTACTCTATAGTTCTGTACTGTATTGTTTATAATCACTTTGGGACCTGCTCTGCTTTTTATTGTGTTTATAAGTACAGTACTTTGCAAGATTGTTTGTTTGCATTTGCCTGAAACTTATAGCATATGGCTGCTGCTGTCTCCTCTCCCTAGCACAGGCCTACCAGAAATTCTGCCTGGAGATGATGATCAGGGACAGTGTTTTGTTTTTTTTAAAAAGGTTTTAAATTTAAATTGCCTCCAGAAGTTGTGGATGTTCCCTCATTGGAGGCTTTTAAGAAGAGACTGGATAGGCATTTATCAGAAATATAGTACAGTACTGTACTCTCTTGTGAGAGCAGTGGGTTAGACTAGATGACTTCAAGGTCCCTTCCATCTCAGTTACTATTGCAAGCCAACAGTTCTGTAAACTCCATCCCATCTCCCTCTACATGTCTGGCTGGATATGCTTAAGCTAATGGCCGGCAAGTATGTGTGTGTGTGTGGTGTTTTTTTTAAAGCAATCGGAAATTTCTGTAAACTCCTGTAAACACTTAAGCTAATTACTTTAGTGGCAGCTGCAATGGTACAGTTCTCCTCCCCCCTGTGAAGAAGCTTGAGCTGCCTAGCAACAAATGGTCTTTTTTTTAAAAAAAAGCTTACTGCCTGCTTGGGAGGCAATTTACAATATTGTGGTTACTGAAACCGGAAACAGCTGTTTGACGGCTGGAAACAGCCTGCAGCAGCGGCGGGAAAAGTCTCTCAGTTCAGGCAGCCATCGGAGGAAATAGTAAATCAAATCTTCGTTCATTTAACGACCCATTTGATTTAATTAATGAGTTTGATTTTAAAATGTTGCAATATTGAGTCTGATTCATTGGAAGATTACGAGCCTAATGGGCAGGCTCTATTAGGCTCGTACCTTGAGGACTACCTGTAATGTCAGAACAGTACCAAAGTGACCTAAGGCTGACATTTCTGCAAATATGGAGAGTCAGTTTGCTCTAGTGGTTAAAGCACCAGACTAGAAACCAACAGACCATAAATTCTGGTCGACCTTAGGCAGGAAAATCGCCTGGGTGAAAGTCTCTCACAGCCCAACTCACCTCACAGTATTGATCTTATGGGGAAAATAGGAGAAAGAAGGACTATATTTAGGTATATAAACATGAAATATGTTTGCCACCTTGAATTATTTATAAAATAATAAAGATAGAATAAAAACTCTAAAAAAAGAAATCTATGGAAGCACATTTCAGGCTGCCATTTGTATTCCTCCATTTTTCAGGCAAATGTAGGTTTCAAAATCACTGTAAAGTTAAAATGTGACAGTTCTAATGTTGATTGACTTATTTTTAAGAATTCATGTGGTCTGTTTTCAGTTATTTGGATTACCCTAAATCCACTTAGGAGAAAATTCTTTTTAAAATCATAAGTTGTTTGTATTTAAATACAGGAAATGGCATTATAAAATTTCTTTTCTTGCTTTATGTTTCTGAATGACATAACAAAGAAAGAATGATCAATGAACATTACTTATAGAATACAATTCTGCAATGTAGCATGTTTCTATTGTAAAAGGTTATTATAGCTTGTATTTTTAAAAAGGTTTTTTTTTTCAAATTCTACATACTTTGCTGGCTAAAGTATTTCTTCTTCCCATCTGTCCCTATACTCATTATAGAGTCTATAATCTATAATCATCATCATAGAGTGATTATTTTTTTCACAATAGACAAGCCAGCGCTTTGACACTTAGAATACTATTTAGCTATTCTTGTACTGTACCTGCAGATACCGAACAATTCGGCAAACAAGATCAGGGGCCATGAAATCTCCAGTGAAGCGCCAAATTATATCAGTCATTATATTTATAAGTCCTGTAAAACAATCTGTTCAAAACATTAGACAATTAGAGAGGAATACAAATATTTGACAGTGCTGTACTATCATAATCACTAATTTTATTCCTCCCATTTTACAAATAGTGCTCAAATTCTGAGATTGTTAATGTTCCTTAATTTCTCTTACCCTCTGTTTTAGGAAGACATCTAGAAGATTTTTCACATGCTCTGCACATATCCCTTATTTCTATTGATCAAGTAGGACTTTTTCTGAGTTAGCTTTATGGTTAACCAGTTAGCTAAAAACACCTTGTAGTAGGAATTTTGAACCACAGACAAATACCAGATGTTCCAAAGTGAATTTAAAATTTAAAAAACATGTTGTTCCATAAAGTATTACATACTGTCCTAACTGTTGATAATGATGCTATGTTAAACTGGAAAAGGATCAGTCATGCCTGGAAAATGAAAGGAAAGAAGAACAATGAAAAAAATAATCTCAGTATGGACTTTGATTGGATTTTGCCTTAATGCTAAGTAGCTGAAAATTATATTAACAACTCAGTTATTGCCATTTTTAACTAATTCGTGGTTGCCAATAGTAAGTCAGATGAACTAAAATTCTTCCCTGAGAAATTTGTGGTGAGTTCATAAGAAGCAGCATTTGGGGAGAATTTACAGGAGGAGAAGTTAAAGGAGAACTATCCCTGATGGTTACTGAAACAAAAATGAACTGGACTGAGGCAATGTAGGGTATGAAAGTAAAGCATAATAAAGAACGGGAAAAAACTGCTTTCTCCCTCGCTACTGTTTTAAGGACCTTAAATGCAGGAATATACTTGTATCCTAAGCCATTTAGTGTCCTTGCAGTATAAGTACCCTTATTGTGTTCTGTAAACAAATAATAAATTACATCTTGCTGAAATAAAAATTAGTATGGGCAAATGGCCTAAGAGAGGAGTAAACATGGTTTTTCTTGCCAATATCTCATGTTATTTAGTGACCTGAAAGAAATTAATTGGCTTGTTTGGAAATTATATTATATTAGATTTATAAAGCTACACATCCCACAATAGTAACTCTAGAATGCTTAGAGCAGGGGTGTCAAACTGCCGGCCCGTGGGCCGGTTTTATCATACCGGAGCCGCGCCCACCCCATTGCCGGCAATGGCGAAAAAGCTCCGATACGTTGCGTGACATCATGTGACGTTGCGAGTTTGACATGCCTGGCTTAGAGTATTTAAGAACAATATACCAATATAAAATAAAATATAAAAGCAGCCATTCTGGACAAACAATAACCATGTAGCAAGCTCTAAGTTAGAGGTCTTCAAACTTGGCCCTTTTATGACTTGTGGACTTCAACTCCCAGAATTCCTCAGCCAGGCACACTGGTTGAGGAATTCTGGGAGTTGAAGTCCACAAGTCATAAAAGGGCCAAGTTTGAAGACCCCTGCTCTAAGTAATACTCCAACCTCCATGCCTAGGGACAGCATAACTTTGTAATTTTGCTGTAACATTGATGATTATTGGGGAAAAAAATTAAGTTTTAAATTATTAATTTTAAATTAAGATAATTTCTTTTTTATTGAATTTGTAAATAAATGATGTGTTGCCAAGGAGGCTTATAAAAATGTGTCGGTATCCATAGTACTATAACCAACCTAAAATACAATGCTGCCCACAATCATGTTCAAGGTTTTTTGATAACAGAATTAATTTTCTTGAGCAGGTAAAGGAGAAAAGAATAAATTGAGTGGGTGAGGGGAAAGAGGAAGAGGACAAAGAGCAGGGAAAAAACTGATTTAGTCCTCCAAAATTCTTTCTCAGGTGGAGTTTTAAAAAATCTCTACAGTCTTGTATTACATGGATCACAGCATCAAAATCACTTAAAAATTCATACTTACCAAGAGTAGAAAACTATTGAAGTTAAAGCTAAAACTTAATAAAACAATGATTGAATGGGTGGAATATATATAAGATCATCTCTTCAAAGTGTGCCAGGTCAAGAAACAGGCATAGCAGGGATGCCAAGACTGCTATTTTATTCTTGTAAGGTATGATTTTTTAAGGCGTGATAATAAATCTTACAAGCTTGTCAAGTATTTCTCTATTTCATCTTATACTAAACAAATTCAAGGAAGATTGATTGTTCCTTTTTCCCAGGACTGTGTAACCTTTTCTCAAAGGACTACACCAAAACAGATACTTTAACACAGGGAAGTGGGGGGGAGGGGAGACAGAGCAGCTCCATCTTAATTAAACTAGATATACGCTATGCTGAGTGGGAGAATTTCTTTGACAGGCATTACCATACTAGCAATAACATATTCCAGAACCCAAAATGGTTCTAGTTCACTGAATTTGCCAATCTGGCTTGATAATAAGATCGTAATAGATGCCTAAATCTTTTTGATGCAAGGGCTCCAGTTAACACTTTAACCATATAAAAACTGCAGCTGTTCTTTGTACCTGTTCATGCTTCTGTAGATAACATGATCATTGAATGGCCGTCATGCCTTTAGGATATGAAATAAGAACAGACTTTTCAGGCAATGTTTGGAGGGACTCCATTCTCATGTGCCTCCAAAATCTCCAAAAATCACATGAGAACAGGGTGTGCTTTCAAGAATAGTTGTTGTTGGGTGTTAGCAAATTGGTGAATGCTGGTGTGTCACCCAAAATATTGTAGCATGTCACTTTTGACACAAATATCATAAGTTTGCCATCATTGTATTATTGTCAACACTACAAATGAATTTGGCTGAAGCCATTTTCCCTTCATTTTTGGTTGCCACAGAGTTGGGAGGGGGGATGAGTATTTTCTAGCTTAGTCAAAAGAATAAATTGTTCTGTGGGAACCAAGGTCATTGCTGATTGCATTTTGGTGGACTGAAGCGTTGGTTAGAAAGCCCGCTCAAGTAGTTAATTGGGGAATGTGATTTATGACATATTACTGGGGTGGGAAGTTCAACTTTGTAACACTGTAACCTTCCCCTCCCACCCCCACCAGTAATACAAGTGAAACCCAGAGGCAATCTCTTGAAACCCTGAAAGCTTCCGTAAACTCCCGCCTGGGATGCCACTCATCCCAAGCAAATACTGAGATTTAACTGAGGTATTCAGCAAGACAGAGTGTGACATCCTGCCCCCCCCCCGAGCGACCAATTGTGCTACTGAAATTTTGCCAGGAGCCAAAATGCCCAAGCCAAAAATGTACTCAATAACCCCCTCCCCCCGTGAGTTGAGAGAACTGAGGGAGTACATTGATAAGAATGTGGCTAGAGGATTCATTCAGCCAGCAAAATCCCAAGTAGCTGCCCTGTGCTTTTTAAAGAAAAAAAAAGATGGGTCACTGAGGCTGTGTGTGGATTTTAAAGGATTAAACAGGGTCAGCGTGGAGAATATGTACCCCCTCCCTTTAATGTTAGCCCATTTGGCAAAAGGAAAGGTTTTTTAATCGTGCGGGACCTAAGAAAAGAGTACTATTGTATGAGAGTTAAAAAAGGAGATGAGTGGAAGAGTGCTTTTAACAGCCCCCTAGGAAGCTTTCATTTCAATGCTATGACTTTTGGTATGCAGGGAACCCCTGATGTGTTCATGCAATTGATTAATCAAGAGCTACATGATCACCTATACAAAGGGGTCTTAGTCTACCTTGATGACATCCTCATTTATACAGGGACCATGGCAGAACATACTAAATTAGTACATGAAGTATTCAAAAAACTGCCGAATGCTAAACTTTACGCAATGCTCTCAAAATGTGAATTCCACCAGACATGCCTGGACTACCTAGGATATAGGATTTCCAGTGAAGGCATTGAAATGAATCCAGCCAAAGTTAAACCGGTGATCGAATGGCAACCCCCAAGAACCCATAAACAACTCCAAATTTTTTGGGGATTTGCAAATTTCTACCGGCAATTTATCCCCTCTTTTGCTAAGATAACTTTACCAATTACTGAACTATTAAAGACAGAGAAAAATGGGGGTAAGCCATGATGTTGTCAGCCCCTGCCATGATCTATTAGATGCTATGTGGATTACCAGCAGATGAACTGGGCTGATCTCCTCCCTTTTGTAGAGGTAGCTTACAATAACACAGGGCATAACAGCACTGGACTCACTCCTTTTAAAATAGCTACTAGTAGAGAGTTCATTCCCATGCCTGAATACCCACAGGACCCTCCTGCTTCTCAAACTTTAGATCTGTGGGTGGCCTCCTGAAAAATTGTTTGGAACAATGCAAAAAAGTCTTTAGCAAAAGCCTCAAAAATTTACAAAGAACAGGCTGATTAAAAAAGGGCTCCTCAGAAACCATTCTGTGTGGGGGAAAAGGTTTATCTCTCTACAAAATATTTGAGACTCAAATTGCCTAATAAAAAATTGGGACCAAAAGTCCTTGGACCTTTCCCCATAGTCCGAATTATAAACCCAGTTATGTAGAATTAAAACTCCCTCACCTTTTGGGAAAGATCCACCTGGTTTTCCACTGCAGTCTGTTAAAACCTTTCAGGGAATCATCTTTAACCTCCTCCCAAACAAGCTCCTGGTCCCCTTGTGGTAGAGGGAGAGATTCATTATGAAATAAAACGAATTCTTGACTCTAGATTATACAAAGGGAAATTACAGTATTTAGTACAGTGGAAAGGATACCCATTATCAGAGGCCACTTGGGTAAAAAGTACTGATGAAAAAGCTGAAAGATTGATACATATATTTTTTTATAAGCATCCTAATAAGCCTCGAGGAGATTCCTAATTTTAACTCTTCTTCGTTTACAGGATTTCTCTTTTCATTAGGGGATCCGACTGTCAACACTACAAACAAATTTGGCTGAAGCCATTTTCCCTTCGTTTTTGGTTGTCACAGAATTGGGAGGGGGATAAGTATTTTTAGCTTAGTTAAAACAATAAATTGTTCTGTGGGAACCAAAGTCATTGCTGATTGCATTTTGGCGGGCTGAAGCTTCTGTTAGAAAGCCCGCTCAAGTAGTTAATTGGGGAATGTGATTTATGACATATTACTGGGGTGGAGAGTTCAAC